TAAAGCTCCTGGGTTGCTTCAAGATCCAGAACAGGGGACACTGACTGAAGAGGAAAGCTGCAAATTCCAGTGAAGATTTGACTGACATACAGTAGTGAACATCTAGAATGGACAGCCAGAAAGGCAGACAGTGTAGGAAAGTATAAAGGGGTGAATTAAATCGACTTTTGAGAGAGCAAGTGGTTGGATGATATTTGTTTCTGTGAATGGGAGCAAGTGCTTGAGTTAAGATGTTGCGTGAGTCAGGTCCTCAGGGCTCGTTTGGCTGTCACGAGCAGGTATCAGGCAAAGACAAGGCAAATTCCTTCAAGGAAAGAGAAAATCAGAGGGTGAGTCCCTCCCCTGCATTGTTTTCTTTATTCCCTACCATTGAAGAACACTGATAGAGATCTTGGAGCAGAGTGCTAGTCTGCAGGATAGAGACAGCGTCTAATGGAATCTGGTTGACAATGTTAATGAAAGATAATTGCAGGAGACTCGTAGTCTCCTACCACTAGTTTAGATCAAGCAAGAGATGTTTATATTGTGATTTCTTCCTTTGCAAATTGAAAGAGAGCAGGAAACATGTTCTTCAAATTGAGCTACTGAGCTGTTCCATTTTCATTAAGAAAAAACAAAATTCAAAGTATCTTCTTATTTATATTGTAGCTAATTTGAAGTGATCTTCATTGCTCATGGATTTTTCCTTCCTACTACCCTAGATCACAGTGAAATGAAGAGCAAAGGACCACTTCGTCCAAGGGATAATGTCCGAGTGCTCATTTGCATCGAGTCCCTCTGCCAACGGAATACGTAAGCACTCAAGCTCAGTTTGATTACAGTCTGCCAGCTATTAGCTTCTGCACTGTCTTAATTCTTGGCAAGGTTTCTTTTGCAATATGTACAGATTGACTAACAGAATCAAGTTCATTCTCCTGAAGGTATTTAATGTAAAAGGAACATTAGGAGACAGGTTTTGAAGGCACTGTTTTCCAGAAGGTCAGCTGGGGAAGGATAGAACTGGCAGATTGTCCTGTGATGGGAAGCTGAGCAAATGGGTCTGTATTGTCTGGAATTTAGAAGAATGAGAAGTGATCTTATTGAAGATTTTGAAGGAGCGTGACAAGGCAGGCACTGAGGGGTTGTTGCCCCTGGCTGGAATATCTGTAACCTAGGGACACAGTCTCAGGATAAGAGGATGCTCTTTTATTAGAATCCCTATAGGGCAGAAAGAAGCCACTCAGCCCATTGAGTCTGCACTGACCCTCCAAAGAGCCTCCCACCCATAACCCCATATGGGGTTTTTACCATGGCTAATCCACCTAACCCGCACATCCCTGAACACTATGGGCAATCCGCCTAACCTGCACACCTTTGGAACTGTGGGAACAAACTGGAGCACCCGGAAGAAACCCACACAGTCACGGGGAGAATGTGCAAACGCCACACAGAGAGTCACCTGAGGGTGGAATTGAACCAGAAAACCTGGCACTGTGAGGCAGCAGCATTAACCACTGAGCCAGCATGCCACCCCAAATAAAAGAGTATTCCATCACATTCCTGACTTGTGCCTTATCGATGGTGAACAGGCTTTGGGAATCTGGAAGTGAGTGAGTGAGTGTATTACTGAGTGGAGGAGAAATTTCCTCCCTCAGAGGGCTATGATCTTTGGAACTCTGTACTCCAGGAGTTTCTGGATGTCCCATTGCTGAATATATTGAAGCTGAGATAGAGTTTTGTTCTTTCAGGAAAACCAGGGACACAGGGAGTGGGTGCGAGGTAGAGTTAAGACCAGTGCTGGGAGTGATTGATAGAGCAGTCTTGAGGTGCCAAACAATCTACTCCTGCTCCTACTTCTTTTGTCATTGAATCTTTACAACTGTTTATATTCATTTCTAGGAGCTTAGATTATAACCATAAACCCTTGAGGCTCAGTTAATGCCCAGAACTTGCATACAATTAAACACAATTAATACACAGGGGCAGAAGGGATATAAAACCTGAAATTGGAAAGTTCTGGTTATCCCAGCAGGGCTTACAATGTCCTTAAACAAAAAAAAAACACAAAAGAACTGTGGATGCTGGATATCAGAAACAAAAACAGAAATTGCTGGAGAAATTCAGCAGGTCTGGCATCATCTGTGGAGAGAAAGCAGAGTTAACATTTCAGGTCCAGTGACCCTTCTTCAGAATTGATCATAGCTAGGAAAAGGTTCATATATATGCTGAAGATAGGGTAGGGGGAGGTGGCGGAGCAGTAAACAATAGGTGGAGATGGTGCCCAGAGAGAAAGAGAAACAGTTGGAATGACAAAGGATTGGGTAAAGGTCAGCGTGGAAGAATCATTAGCTGCTAATGAAGACCATAAGTAACTGACAATGGGACAGTTGTGGTAGCAGCCCATGTAATGACAAGGCCTGGTGGGTTGGGGTTGGGATAAGGACATGGGAGAAGGTGCTCAGGCCTGAAAATTATTAAACTCAGAAGTGAGTCCCAAAGGCTGCAAGGTTCCCAAGCAGTAAACGAGGTGCTGCTCTTTCAGCTTGTGCTGAGCTTTGCTGGAGCACTGTAGCAAGCCTGAGACAAGAGATGTTGGCCAGGGAACACAGTGAGGTGTTGAAGTGAGTGAAGTGCACACAATGTAGTCTCCTGTATTTGCTGCTCACAGTGTGGTCTGCTGTACATCGGAGAGACGAAGCGCAGACTGGGCGACTGCTTTTTACCATGTAAAAAGCTTTCTGTCTGTCAAAGAAACCCTGAGCTTCCAGATGCCTGCCACTTCAGCACACCACCATCTCCCAAGATAGTTGTCAGACCTGCCCAGTTTTTCCAGCATTTTCTGTCTTTATTTCAGGCTTCCCGAATTCGCAGTATTTTGCTTTTAATTAGATTTCCCTTGTAACAACTCCTGATTTTGGTCTTTCCTGGCCTCATTATTCTAGGTTTATTAGCCTTCAGGTGTTAGATCACAGAGTCCCAAACTGTTATTTTAAAAGTATCTTTGTAGTTTTGATATCTAAGTTAACTGATTACTAATGTGCCCAAGAAGCCACTCCGTCAATTCCTAAACCTTCCCACTTTGGCTAAATGCCAAAATTTTGGAACAAAAACAAAGTTGCTGGAAAAGCTCAGCATGTCTGGCAGCATCTGTGAAGGGGAAAACAGAGTTAATGTTTTGGGTCCGGTGATCCTTCCTCAGAACAGCCATAATGTTGGATCTTGTTTTAAGTTTAAATTTTTACGCTAATTCATAAGACAAATAAGGGCATAAATAAGTTGTGTGGTGGAATCCTGTCATCTGAACCACTATTCCATCACTTCTCCCCTGATATTTCTACCATTACAGGAACTCATTCTGGCTTCAACTATTCCCTCAGAAATTCCAAGCCGTTAACCAGGGCTGAACAGGATCCACTGAAAGGGCATGGGATTCTGACAGATAAACATTTCTATGGGATTACTGCCAGGCCCAAATGGGAAATCTTTCCCTGAACCCAACTTCCAAGATTCAACAGCTTCAGCTCTTTAAATATTTCCCAAAGCAGTTGATGGGAATTCCTAGACTTGAATAACTGACATATTCCAAATTGACTGGCCGTTGTACATCTAACTGAACAAATAATGCAGTTTGCTTTTGTTCTGACACAGTACATAGAACCGTATAGCACAGGAATAGGCCCTTTGGCCCAACATGTCTGTGCCAACCATGATGCTATTCTAAACTAATCTTATTTGCCTGCACATGGTCCATACCTATTCCCAGCCCATTCATGTGTCTGTCTCTTAAATGTTGCTATTGTATCTACTTCTACCACCTCCCCTGGCAGCACATTCCAAGCACTGACAACCCTCTGTGTGAAATCTTTCCTTACACATCTCATTTAAACTTTTCCCTTCTCACGTTAAACCTACGCCCCCTAGTATTTGAAAAGTCCATCCTGGGAAAAAAGACTCCAACTATCCAGACCCTTCATAATTTTATATACTTCTATGTATACTTCCATATACTTCCTCAGCCTCTGACACTCCAGTGAAAACAATCCAAGTTTGTCCAACCTCTCCTTATAGGAAATACACTGTAATCCAGTCAACATTCTGGTAAACCTCTTCTGCACCATCTCCAAAGCCTCCACATCCTTCCTATAGTGTGGCAACCAGAACTGCACACAGTGCTCCAAATGCAGCCTAGCTAAAGCTTTATACAGCTACAACATGACTCGTCAACTTTTATACTCAATGCCCTTACCAATGAAGGCAAGCATGTCATACACCTTCTTTACCACCTTATCCTCCTTATCCACTTGTGTTACCAATTTCAGGGAACAACGGACGTTCACCCCAAGATCCCTCTGTATATCAGTGCTCCTAAGGGTCCTGCCATGTACTAAATACTTTCGTCTTGTGTTTGACCTCCCAAAATGCATCATCTCGTACTTGTAAACTCCATCTATCATTTCTGTGCCCGGCTTTCCATTTGATTTATAACAACGCCATACCCATGTTGTTATTTCCTGCTGCATACTTTGACATCCTTCCTCACTACACAGCTTCACCAGTTCTCGTCTCATCTGCACACTTATTAATCAGACCACCTATATCTTCATCCAAATCATTTATTTATATTACAAACAACAGAGGTCCTTGTAGATAAACACTGGTCGCAGACCTCCAGTCAGAAAAGCACCCCTCCACAACTACCCTCTGTCTTCTATGACCAAGCCAATTTTGTATTAAATTTACCAACTTACTGTAGATCCCATGCAGTTTATTCTATCATGAGGGACCTTGTCAAATGCTTTGGTAAAGTCCATGTAGACAATATCCACTGCACCAACATCATCAATCATCTTTGTCATTTCCTCAAAAAAGTCAACCAAATTTCTGAGACAGGACCTCCCCCACACAAAGCCATGCTGACTGTCCCTAATAAATCCATCCTTTTCCAAATGTGAGTAAACCCTGTCGCTAAGAATCTTCTCCAGTATTTTCCTTGCCACTGATGTAAGACTTACCAGCCTATACTTTCCTGCTTTATCCTGGTGCCCATCTTAAAGAAAGTAACAACGTTGGCTATTCCCCAAATTTCTGGGACCTCACTTGCGGCTATAGAGATGGCCTGTCAAGGCCCCAGCAAACTCCTCCCTTGCCTCCCTCAGTATCCTGGGATAGATTCCATCAGGCCCTGGGGTCTTATCTACCTTAATGTTTTCAAGACTCCCAACACCACCTCCTTTTTAATATCGACAAGCCCTGGAATATTAACATACCCTCCCTGAACTTAGTGTCATCTGTACCCTTCTCCTTGATGAATAGTGATGCGAAGGACTCATTAGGAACCTTACCCACTTCCTCTGGCTCCCTGCATAAATTCCCTCCTTTGTCCTTGAGTGGACCTACCCTTTCCCTAGCTACCCTCTTATTACTAATGTACATATAAAATGCCTTGGGATTCTCCCTAATCCTAGTTGCCAAGGACATTTCCTGGCCACTTTTTAGCCCTCCTGAATCCTTGTGTAAGAAAATGAGGAGATCAACCTCCCCTGTTGTTAAAAAGTTGAAACTTTTGTATTGGGTTCAGCCTGGTGCAACTATCTGATTGCTGCTAGCTCTTCAACATCCCTTGGCATTGTGACTGGAGTTAAAGCTACAGCCACCATGTCAAACTGAGGCCTAAAAACCCTGCCATTTTGTTACAGGAGCAAAAAACGTACTGTGATTTCCCATCAACCCTCCCAATAAGCAAGGCTGATGTCCCTGGAGTGGTGAGAGAGAGTTACATTAAACACTGCCTTGATGTTAAACATTGCTGTTTTGTCGAACATTATAAAACTCCTGTGGCAATAGGTGAAACCCCACAGGGAGCATTCTTGTGAACATTCCTCCCTTGATTGTCACCAAAGGGGGATAATTGCTGCTTGTGGCATCTCATTTTTGTAACATGGCTGCCTAGTTCACCTTCATCACATGTGCTCCAAAGTAATTCGTACATAATCATTTTTAGATTATGTTGTAAACGTAATGGAAAGTCTTGTCTCTTTCTGTTCAATCCTCCTCTTTTTCCGAAGAGTCTGAGGAAACCAGGCGCAATACCATATCCAAGCTATTATTTTTAAGCAGTTAGAAGGGGCTAATAGTTTGTCTGAGCTATCTAACTCGTCAGTCACATTCTGTCAGCTCTGTCTCATGCTTTAAGAGAATGAAAAGGTGAGGTTGTGTTTTTATACTATACCGTTTTGTGACCTTGAGACATCCTAAAGGACTTTGGAGCCAATGAGCTACTCTTGAAGTGTAATCTCTGTTGAGGAAACATTACAGCCAATTCTCTCACAAATGCCCAAAAACAACAACCACTAACCTCCATGTCCAACATATCATTATCCGCCACTTCCACCACCTACAATCCAACCCCACAACCAAAGAGATATTTCCCTCCTCACCCCATCTGCCTTTCATAGAGACCGCTCTCTCCGCGACTCCCTCGTCCACTCCACACTCCCCACTAACCCCGCCACCCCCGGCACCTTTCCCTGCAACGGCAGGAAGTGCTACACCTGTCCCTACACCTCCCCCCTCCCCTCCATCCAAGCCACCAAACAAACCTTCCACATCAGACAGAAGTTCACCTGCACATCCGTCAATGTGGCCTATTACATCCGCTGCTGCCGATGTGACCTCCTCTACATCGGTGATACCAAGGGGAGGCTCGGAGACCGCTTTGTAGAGTACCTGTGCTCTGTTCGCAACAAACGACAACACCTTCCGGTCGCGAACCATTTCAACTCCCCCTCCCACTCCCTGGGTGACATGTCCATCCTGGGCCTCCTCCAGTGTCACAATGACGCCACCTGGAAACTGGAGGAGCAGCACCTCATATTCCACCTCAGGAGCCTACAATGCAATGGTCTCAATGTGGATTTTATCAGTTTCAAAATCTCCCCACCTCCGGCCTCATCCCATGACCATCCCTCCCTCTCATCCCTGCCTCCTTGACCTGTCTGTCTACTCTCCCACCTATCCGTCCCTTCCACCCCACTGACCAATCCCCATCACTTCCCTACCTGCACTTACCTATCACCATCCCACCTACCTTCCCCAGCCCCACCCCGCCTCTCTATTTATTTCTGAGCTCCCTTCCCCCTTCCCCATTTCTGAAGAAGGGTCCTGACCCGAAACGTCAACTTTCCTGCTCCTCTGATGCTGCCTGGCCTGCTGTGTTCCTCCAGCTCCACACTGTGTTATCCCTGACTCCAGCATCGGCAGTTCTTACTTTCTCTGAAGGTGTTAATTGCTGTTGCTTAACACATACTTTACTTTGTATGCTCAATACTCCGCTCTGGCTATCTATAATATATCATGTGCCGTCAAGTAATCTTCTCATTCTCTGCAGTAGGTTGAAGATTACACATTGCATCAGTAGAGTGTGCACACTATGCTTAGATCCATTGAAGAATTAACAGGAAATGAAGAGTGCAAGATATATGCGATATATATTTAGAACAATTCCCAAATTCACTGCTCTCAAAATGTCAAATAACAAAGCCATTTCTTTGAAATGAACCCTCATCATTAATCTAACTTTCAACATGTGGGTGTTCACCACAGAGTTTTCTGAATTGTTGATGTCCCCTTGATGACTCGAGACTTCTTGCTGTTTAGTCGCAGTACAGAATATAGTTCCCAGTTTCTTTGAAGATATCCCAGTACAAAGGAATTTTTTTAAAAAACTGTACTTCTCTGAGTTATGTTTGCTGACCAACCATTCACAGGATTCAAAATGACATTTGCCCTGAAAATATATCTGTTAAACAGGGAGAAACTGTGGGCAGCCTCACAAGATGCTTTTATTCAAATTGAATAGTTTCAATTCATGAGCCTGTACCAGACACTACACATGACCTGTTCGATGGGTCTCTATCCAAATGCTACAATAGCAGCAGTCAACCTACGCATGTTAGCCAATATGAGATGCCTGTTTTATTCTGTCTTCATAAATAGCTAATGGTAAAACTTTAGCCCAATGGTTGCTTTGACACACAAGAAAAAATTTCAAAAATTCTTCAAAAATACCACACTTACCTATTGGGTAATCGGGTTACAGAAAAAAAGTCTGTCTTCAGTTTTTGCATTTTGTAGGGAACAGCTCTGAAGCGAGTCACTTAAAAAACGTGAATTAATCTTTCTTTTTTGTTTTGAACATCAAAAGTTTAACATATAACTAGACAGGAATCTGACCTTTATAGTGTCTGTAGACACTGACATGTTGTGTTCCACGTTGTGGGCTTTGCTGGCTAAGGCAACATTTGTTGCCCATCCCTAATTGTTTTAGAGAAGGTGGCATTGAGCTACAGCCTTGAACTGCTGATGGCGAGCAGAGTCACCCAGAGTGCTGTTAGGAAGTGTATTCCAGGATTTTCATCCGTGACAATGAAGGAATGGCAGTATATTCCATGTGTGACTCAAACAGGAACCTGTGAGGGGTGGTATTCCCATGTATCTGCTGCTCTTGTCCTTCTGGGTGGTAGAGGTTGCAGGCTTGGAAGGTGTTGGCGAAGGTACCTTAGTGCAGTGTATCATGTCTCTGCTACACACTGTGTGTCAGTAGGGGAGGGGTTGGATGCGGTGCCAATCAGCAGGTTGCTTTGTCCTTAACTGTGTCAAGCCTTTTGACAGCCATTTTACTCATGCAGTCAAATGGAGCATGATCTATCACACTTGTGCCTTGTAGATGATGGACAGGCATTGGTGAGACAGGAGGTGAGTTACTTGCTTCATAATTCCCAGTCTCTGATCTACTTCTGTGGCCACAGGATCTATATGGTTGGTGCAGTTCATTTTCTGCTCAATGGTCACTCCCCAGGTGTTAATAGTGGGGGGATTCAGTGATGGTGATGCCACTGGGAAATCAAGAGGAGCAGGTTAAACTCTCTAAAGTGAAACAAAGAGCTGTGGACACTGGAGATCTGAAACCAAAATAGAAACTCAACAGGTCTGGCAGCACCTGTAGGAAGAAAGCAGAGTTAATATTTCAAAATCAGTGACTCTTCATCAGAAAGCTGAGTTCTGAAGAAGGGTCATTGGACTCAAAATGTCAAAATGTTTTCACCCCAAAGATGCTGCCAGACTTGCTGAATTTCTCCAACAATTTCTGTTTTTGTTTCAGGTTAAATTCTCTTTAGGTTATTGCCTGGCACTTGTACGGCATGAAACTTATTTTCCAGGCCAAATCTGAATATTGTCCATATACCAGGGCCTATGGGCATAGACCTTTTGAGTACGCAATGGAGATAATATTGTGCACAGATGCTTGCCCTTATTTCTTAAAGACTGTCTACTTTATTACTTCCTTGCCAAATTTCTGTCTGTTCGTTAGATCTCCCCACATTTATGAAATATTTTAAAAACTCGAGTAACAGTATATCTGTTTATGTTTTAAGGTCAGTGGAAGTTATAGTTGTGTGTGTACTGATCTACTTCTTTCTATTTTTGTCTACTTTTAATTGTATATTGAGTTGATCTTTTACCCACTGTTTCCCTTCAGTTCCCTTGAAGTTATAGTTGGGCTGGAGAGCAACAGCAAAATATTCACAGTCTATGTGCATGGGCTCCTTCAGCTACAGGTTAGTAGACATCAGCAACACTCTGAGCTTCACAGAAATGATTATACACGCTACAATTTAGTGGTTCCATTCCCTCAAGCCTGCTTCAAATTCACAGCAAAAATATTTTTGATTGTTTCGAAATGAAAAAAATTGGCCCCTTGACCATTGTAATAGGCAGGCTATTTCAGTAATGAATCACTGGACAGTAATGCTGGTTTGATGTGAAAGGTTAAGCACTGCATGCCCTGAGATGTTTAAACCACCTTTCCATGCAAATGTTGTACCTTGTTGTGGGGTGTCGTGAGTGGGAACCAATGTGGATCTCTTTGTTGGTTTAGTTAAATGTGTATGACTACCAATCCAAGGAAGCCTAAGGAATAAAGGCAAGAAATTTTACAAAATCTATACAAAGTAAGGTTTTTGAAAATGTTGCAAAGCAGCACATTTAAATTGCCAACAGTAGAAAGAGGTACTGGGGAAGCTGTACAATGTGTGGAATAATTAACAGAAATTACGTATTGGAAATATTTTGTTGTGTGAATATTTTTAAATGGATCAACGAAACAGGAGAGGCCAGTCAACCGATTGAACTTGAATCATGAGTCAATTAAGTTGTGGCTGATCTGTACTTCAATTCGATTTGCCTGCCAATTCCTGTAATACTTCTACCTAATCAAAATTTGGTATCTTGGTCTTGAAATTTTTAATTGTTCTATCTTTCATGGAGAGAATTCCAGACTTCTTGTACACTTGTGTGAAAAAAGTATTTCCTAATTTACTTCCTTAATGTCCTAGCTACAATGTTGAGATTGCGCTCTCTTGTTCTGCCACTGTGGGACATAGACTCTCCCGTTCCCAAACTGTGTTCTTCCATCATGTTAGACATGTCAATCGGAGCAACCTCTCAATTTTTGAACGTCCAGTTAGTAGGAGCCAGGTTTATGGAATCCAACCTCATTTTTAAACCCTTTAATTCCTGTGGTAATTCTGAGCAGCGTCACTGCTCCCTGTGCAAGGCCAGTATAACTCTTCCTGAAGTGTGATGACCAAAATGGAACACTCTGGTTCCGATCAGTGTCTGACCGAGATCTTCAGAAACTGTGGCATAAATTCCTCCTCTTTGCATTTCAGGTCCTCTGACATAAACATAAGAAATAGGATTAGGCCGCAAAGCCTGATCTCCATTCAACAAGGTGATCTGTCCAAACTTCAACTCTTCTTTTGTACCAGCTAGTCCATATCCCTCAACTCCCTGATATTTCAAAGCCTCACGTCCTTCTTAAATACTTTCATTGATCTAGCCTCCGCAACTCTATGGAGTAGAGAGTTGCAGACATTTACTACCCTCTGAGAGAAGACATTCCTTCACATCTCAGTATTAAATGAGTGTCCCCTTATTTGCTGAACTATCCCCTAGTTCAAGATTCCCCATTATGGAAACCTCATATCAATGTCTACTTTGTCAAGCCTTCTCAGGAGTTTGTATGTTTCAATAAGATCACCCCTCATTCTTCTGAACCTATTTAGCTGTTATAGATAAATCAATTCCTTCATGCCAGGAAACAGCAAATATTTGGTTAGATTTTGATTACCTTATGTACCTCTGCACTAATTCTCTAATGATTTTAGGACGTGTACGTTCTTTGCTCCTTCACAGTTGTTAATTTCTCATAATTTTTCGAATCCAAAGTGACTATTTTAACTACACTGATTAAAAATTAAGCCCAAAAAGCATTTTCAGAAATTGGATTTTGCTTATCTTTACTGTTCAAATTTATTTCATTTGTGTTAATAAATTTTCCATTTAAATTGCTGGCTGAGAGAGACAGCAGTCTCACAAGATCCATATTTGGAAATGACAAACGCATCAAACAATAAGGTAGAAGAAAGTTTGCAACAGTTATGAATTTTGCATTCAAAGACTGCAAAGGCAGTCAACAGAGGCTGGAGAATGAGAAAATTGCTCCAGATAATTGTAGTTACATTTGTGCGTCTGAATTTTCAAAATTGTTTGAAAAGCTGGGAACAGTTTATGACTGCAGTGGAAAATTCACCTTTTATCCACTTTGCCGTGGATCCTTTAATTTTTTAAAAATTATTCATTCATGGGATGAAAGCATCTCTAGCTAGGCCACTATTTAGTGTCCACCCCTAATTGCCCAGATCCCATTGTGTGTCTGGAGTCATATGTAGGTCAGACCCAGTAAGGATGGCAGTTTCCTTCCCTAAGAGATATTAGGGAACCAAATAGCCTTTTCTGACAATCAACATGGTTATCATTTGACTCTTAATTCCAAATTTTTAATTGAATTCAAATTCCACCATCTGCCATGGCAGGATTCAAACCCAGGTCCCCAGAACATTACCTGGGTCTCTGAATTAACAGTCCGGCGATAATACCACTAGGCCATCACCTCCTCCTTAGCTTTGGATTGCCTGAGGAATTTGCCAATCAAGTACCAACAAATCAAACAATGACATAATACTATTTTGAAACATGATGGTATTAACTGAGGGCCCATAAAACACTGATGGGAAAGTACATGTACATTGTCTAGATCAGATTTCCGGATCTTGTAACCCATACAGTGGATCAAGGTAAAATCATCATCACAATTGTGGTTTCGACCTTGACAAGTAATCTCTGTAAATCAGCTCACATTGAGCTGGAAGCCATTAGCTGCTGTGAAATGACTGCATTTTTTATCCTGAAACATCGGTAACCTTGAATGAGTGCAAATGAGCTTTAGTACTGAATGGAATTTGACAATTATCCTCAGCGAAATGAAGAGAACTTAGTACTCCTCATCACTTTCTAAGGATTGCTTCGACACAATTTATAGTACGAACATTAGTCTGGCACTCAGTTTAGAGAATCCATAAAGGGTTGTGATTTCCCAGTCAGCCAGTATTGTTTCACATCACCTGTAATAGGTCCATTGAGTATTCTGAGGGGATAACATGCAGTCACATCAGGCTTTCTGGCAATTTTACAAAATCACGTGCATTTGCTAACTTGGTTAAGGTATCCTTTGACTTTAACACACATTTTATTAACATTTTTTCACCTCTAAGACATGAAAAGAAGGTGGGGATGAAAGTGCTAGGAGAGACTACAAAGGCTGCTATAATTTTCAGTGTGCATTTTGACCTTTGCAAAACTGGAGGGAGCACAGATGTCAGACAAAAGCAGACTATAACAGCCACTCACATCCTGGTATCATGATGCAGGTTTCTTTGCACATCTTTGTAGCAGACACTTTGTCTCTGTAACTTTCTGACAAGTGACTCAGTGTCCAACCAGTTCCATGCCAGTCAGTAACAGGTTGATGAGCTTTTACATGTCATTGTGAGAGTCGACCAATGGATGCAATCTGATCTACTTGATCTCTTCTTCCACCCCAGTCCCAAATATAAAGCTTCGCAAATGGGTTTGCAGTAAAAACCTCATCATGCCAGTATTCTGCCCTCATGGGCCCTTTGGACCATTTAAGTACATTCTTAAAAAATATGTTGGGCAGAATCTTCCTCTTGCTTTGCAGGGTTCTGAGGGCAGAAATGGAAATGGCATGTCACTCCTGCTTGAAGTCATGCCAGTTAGTTATTCATAGCCAAGGACCCTGGCCAATCATGCACCAGGGACAAGCAGGAAGTGGCCAGCTCCAGAGTCAAAGGTTGGGGCATGAAAAGGAGCACCCAGACAGGCATCCACTTCCTGCCATTCAGCAATGTTAGACTTTTAAAGAGATTTTGTACATGAAACTATTGGTACCTCCAAGCCCTGCCTCCTGTGCCCCGCCTTCCCCCAACCCACCCCAATTTCTAAATGGTCCCTTTAGGTCATTAGAATAGTGCTTCCCAAACTCTATCCGACCATGACACCATTTTGAGACTTAGAAATTGCTGTGGTCCCAGAGTGTGAACCCAGGGTGTGGGAGGAGAGTTGTGAGTCATACTAAATCTACCCCTACCCTTACCCTCACCCAGCCTTTCTCTCAATGGGGAGGCGATGGCCTAGTGGTATTATTGCTGGGCTGTTAATCCAGAGACCAGGTAATGTTCTAGGGCCTGGTTCAAATCCTGCCACGGCAGATGGTGGAATTGAATTCATTAAATACCTGGAATTAAGAGCCTAATGATGACCATGAATCCATTGCCAATTGTCAGAAAAACCCTCTTGGTTTGCTAATGTCCTTTAGGGAAGGAAACTGCCATCCTTACCTGGTCTGGCTTACATGTGACTCTAGACCAAAGCAATGTGGTTGACTCATAACTGGCCTCTGGGCAATTAGGGATGGACAATAAATGCTGGCCTAGCCAGCAACATTCTCATCCTGTGAATGAATAAAGGAAAATAAAAAATTCTTGATGCTCCCTTTATATCCTCAAGCTTTGCTGTTACCCTGAACTCTCAGGACTGCTGACCTCCCTTTATAATCCAGCTTCCTCCCTCTGATCCCAATGTGTGCATCCTTGCTCCCTCAGTCAGCTAAGCCCCTTTCCCAACCATTTCCCAAACTCAACTACCAATGCCTCCTCTCTCACGGCTTAACAAAACTCCCCACGTAAGAGGAAACTGCAACTGCCGGGGGGGCCACCTCCATTGCAGCAAGCCATGTTTGAGTCTTGAATCTGAAGGCACGTCTTTCTCATTTGCTGCATACTTAATTCCAGAGGAACACTTCATTTTGGGAGAGTTGCATTTTAATGAGTGTGCATGACGTGTGAACAAATTTCAGCTTGGTTACTGCTGCTTGCTGTCAGGAAGCGGGATTCCCTGTCATTGTGCCAGCAACTGAATGCCCACCTTTCATTCCAACCCACGGAGAATGGATATTTCTGCCTCCCTCACAATGAAGTGGATCTGCCCATCCCTAATTACCCAGGGGGCAGTTTAGAATAAACCAGTTGCTTTAGATATGGAGTTATATGAAAGCCAGACTTGTTGAGTTTCTCCAGCACTCTCTGTTTAGCCTCAGAATAACAGCCTGGATTACTATCCAGCCACATTACCACCACACCACTGCATCCCCTAAAATAACTTGCATAACTTAAAGGTTGGTCAGTGTGTGATGAGGGATACAGTCTTGCACACTTCATGTCTATTAGGTAACAATTTGCATCTCGCATTTTGACTTTTAGTTTGCCCTGTTACCATAATAAATTACAAATGGAAATAGTAAGTACTCAAAATAAAATAGAATTTATGCAAAAGATACGTATACAGTCATACAGCACATAATCAAAGCACTCAAAATGCTATTCATGAATGCTTTGTCTGCATCTCCCTTCCAAATCACACCCCATATCCCAGCTTGCAACACCCACTAATTCATGTTCAAAATAAGGGGCAGGATTCTTGGGCAGTGCCAGGGTCCTGAACAGAGTTGGACAGGGCCCAGAAATACTGTACCAGTGCCAGGCAGTGTGTCAGTTTCCTGATGATCATTGCTGCTGTTGACCTTTTTGGAGGAAAGGGAGGTTTGGAGCTTGCCAAGTCCATCAACTCACATAAGGTGAGCAGCCTATTGAGCCCATTATGAGCCTTGTTAATGGCAGGTAATAGAGGCTACATAGAACATTGCAATCAGCCCCCAATTTCCTGTCACAACAGGAAGCAGTACAGTTATCTGGAGTTGGGTACCCTATGTCATGTTAATAATAATGATCTAATAATCTAATACTCTAAAACCTTAGAGATCTAATAATCAGTTGCACATCCAGGAAAACAGTATAAGTTATGAAACCGAGTTATAAAGTTGCAACATTGTATTCGCAGAGTACATAGAGTTCTCAAAGGCAAACTCTGTTAAGGGCAAAAAGAAATTTAGTTATCCTCTCCAAAGGAAACATAACTATTTACAATAATAATTGATCCTACGAGCCTCAGTAATGTAAGTAAAGTGCTGATTTGATCCAATCCAGAAATGAGTAGGATGAGCGTGGATAGGTTGGCACAAATTTGATGGGCCAAATGGTCTCTTCTGTTTTGTATGTTTCTACGATTCTATGTCATTGATTGCCCACAGTCCTCACGGATATTGCCTGTCATTCCTGTTTGTGTTATTAAGTGTTTCTTTCATGGACTGTCTTTGCTGTTCCAAAACTTGCTCATTCTGACACACTACGGCCAAGTTTTCATCCAGATTAGTTACTGGTTGGTCTTGTTCCTAAAGCTCATTTTGAAGCTAACATCCTGGATTTTTCTAATTTTATCAAAATATTTTAGCCTTCTGTTGGACCCAGTATATTTCCTCTTTCATAACCTGCTCCAATAACTATACAGTCTCTCCAACAGTCTTCTTCCTTTTACTTTTTGGTTTCTTTGAACCCTTGACCTCTTCCACTTGTTGCTTTGGTGATTGTTTGACTTCCTATACCTGTATGTCCTGCTTGAGCATAATTGCTGGTCTTTATTTCTGAAAGAATGTTCTCATTAATGGTTTGCAGTTTTTTTTTGTGTGTGTGCGCTGTGTATCTCCAGCTGTTTTTGCATGAGTGTCATTTTCTCCAGCACGGCTTTGAGCTCAAGATGATGTTTCCATAGCTGTTCTTGCTGAGCATGGTTGACTTCATATGCAAGTTCCTCCATATCCTCTTGTAAACAGGCAGTCTTTTCATCTGAAGCTTATAATCCTTCCCCCTTTTCTTCCTCTTTGTGAGCTGAGCGGACTTCATCTCAAAACTGGTACTCTCGGGATTGGATTTAACCTGATCTAGTTTATGAGCCTTTTCCCTTGAACTCACATTTTTCTGTCCACAGCAGAGAGCTGAGATTTAACTCCTCTAAATCAAAAGTAAGTGAAGTGAGTCATTGAATCCCTTCAGTGTCGAAGCAAGCCATTTGGCCCATCGAGTCCGCACTGACCCTCCAAAGAGCATCCCATCCAGACACCCAGCCCATTCTTATAACCCTGCATTTCCCATGGCTAATCCACCTAGCCTGCACATCCCTGGACACTATAGCATGGCCAGTCCACCTAAACCTGTACATCTTTAGACTGTGGGAGGAAACACAGAATGTTAAACTTCACACAGACAGTCACCCGAGGCTGGAATCAAACCTGGGTCCCTGGTGTTGTGAAGCAGTAGTGCTGACCACTGAGCCACCGTGCCATGCACAGTGTTCTGTTCTTCTTTCATATTCAGTTTTGCAGATGTTTTTTGAACTGTTTCTGTTGGGTGTCTCTGATGTCTGACTGTGATAAGTTGGTAGATCCATAATTGGTGCTTCAGCAGGATCTGCAGTGTAGAACATCTGTGACATCCAGGCAGGTTAACTGTACTTCTGTTGCAGAACTATTAGTCTTGCACATGGAATTGGGGAACTGTTCTATGCTGAAAGTTTTGCTTCTGTAAGTTTTATCCCGGCTACGCATGTCTGTGAGTACATTTCAGAATTCAGAGGGGAAGTACATTGGCAATTCAATTTTTGCCAATTATGAAGGCGTCACCAGTTTTCTGAGGACGGATAATTTGAGTTTTTGCAAACACTTTGGAAAGTGTGATTGCATTAATGTTTTTCATGAGATTGAAAGTCTGAGACATGTGTTCACCAGCCTTTGGCACATCATGTACATCATCAAATCCTGGTTTCTCAATCCCTTCAAATACACGTGGGGTAGCAGACAGTCTGTATTGTATCTTGAAGACATTCTGTTTGGGCAAATACATGGTTCTTTGTAGCTGTTGGAACTTTTGCTCCAGTGCACTGTTCTGCCAATGGGATTTTCTGCCGTACACCTTGCAAAATTATTGAAGGCTGGTCATTTCCTCAAGCATGTAGACAGACATCCCATTCAAGGGCCTTGCTATGTTTGGGTGCACTATTGATTGTGCCAATTCTCAAGTTTGTACTTAGGGTCTGTAAGTTTTGTTAACCGGTGAGGGTCACCCATCCTTCAGTACCTCTGGTTGGAAAGAAATTGGAGCCTCCACTACCTCTGTCCATAGCTACAAACTACAATATACCTGGAAAAGCATAAGTTGCCCAGCAACACAGACTTGTTTAGGCTTCCACTTGGCTGGACATCTGGTATGGATCAGATTGTGCCAACAGCATGGGATTCGATCCCTGTTGTGACTGGGGTGGATTTGGGATGAACCTCGTTGCCCTATCCTGATGAAGATGATGGCATTGTGGATCGGACCTATCGCCGGGAAAAGAACTCAAGAATACTTGACTATAAACCTGGAAATAAGTGACGTTGCTGTTAGTGTACATGCTGTGCCCATTTGGGTAAAGATGGTCAGTCATTTAGCAAGTCCCAGGTATTTTTACATGGAATATTCTACCCAACTATAAAATCTGCATCAAGAGGCTGGTCAGTGTTAAAGGCTTGAGTCCATCGGGAGCTTGTTAGGGTGACTCCATCGAGTATAATTGTGAATTACTGGAGCATTGCTTAAAAACCTAAGGTAAAGCTGTAAGGCCGTGCCAGTGATATGCCATGTGGGAGATCAAGGACTCCAGAACGAATTTACTATTGCCAGTGGCAGTGCAAGTCACCATGACCCTGTATTTTCTGTGCCTTCAAGTTATTTCTGGCAGGGACTGGAGATGTTTGCAATGTGAGCCAATTTTCCACGCAGGCTGGTGACTGATGCCTTATTCTGTAAAGTGATTTATTTTTCAATGCACCAACTCCCACTAGGAAAATTCTACCGGTTTTACAAGAGCTGAGGAATTCACTCTCTGCAGCCAAGCTCCGATGCCCGATGTGAAACATGAAGGGCTTGTGGTACGTTATTGCGGAGTAGCTTAGAGAATATTGATGCACTATTAGAAGATGAATGTCCACTTTCAGGAGCTTGTATTTTGTTTTCATGATCCAGGGACAGAATTAGCAGCCTTTATGAAGATCTGTGAAGCAGGTTCTCTGACAGCAAGTGTGGGATCAGGATCCCAAATAGTCTTGACCCTCACTCGTATCATGAAAAGAACAATCTGTGCTAAGTTCAAACCATAGCTCATTGTCCCTTTGTGTCAATAACCAGCAAAAGTTCAATGCAAGTTATGCAACTTCCAAGATCATTATTGAAGGTACAGTTGAGGTTCTAATGCATTAACTCAGGACATAGATTGTCTCTGAGGCAGGCATAACATTACAATGTGCTCTAACTATACTTCCATTAGTGTTTTTGATACCATTCACTTTCAGTTACCTTCATTTTAATTAGAAATGTCCCTTAACTGAAGCTTGCATAATTTAACCTGTGGTTAAAATATGAATAGTTAAAGAAAACAGGCAAATTCGTTTCAGTCAGAAAAAATTGCTTCCACTTGCAGATGACAGAAGTTGTGCCTTATGTTGGCTTTATATAATTTTTTTTCTTCTGTGTTTTTCAGGCTGGCCAGTATACCTCCATATTTGTGGACAACGGTGCAGGAGCACCCATTTCTATCCAGAGTGGATCAGATTTTATGGGGATATTCGTTGGTGTATAGCAAGTCATGTTCTCTTTAGAAGAAACTAACTTTAATGCCAACTTTAACATTAGAATTCTGCTCTTCGTAAAAAAAAGTCAGAGATGGAATAATTCAAGTAACTGTTGACATGAAGAAAGACTGGTGGGATTTTCCCTTCAACAATTGCTACTTTTGTATCCTGGCTCATTATTCTTTCATCGGTCTTTGAGAAATCCATATTTGGTTAGAACTTCAAAAATAATACACAGTGCCACTCTCAGTGGCAGATTGTCATCTGCAACACTGGATTGCAAAATGCTAAAGTGATTGTACCTAAATTTCCTACAGACGCAACCGTAGAAGGGCTAAACAGGAGATACACATTCAAGCTGTTATTGTCTTGCTGATGGTGTTAAAAAGCTCCTTTTAGCAACAAAATAATATTAATTTTATTGATTAAATATCATTGTAATATTGGAATGTTGGTTCTGCGTTATTGTATGCTCAGTGATAAGGTACTTTGCAGCTTTATTATTAACTCGTTGCTGCCTAGCAATTTTGAGCTGTTTCAGTGGACACTAGGTCACTGGTATGACCTCTGGATTCACTAGAATGCCTACCAGTTGTGCAGGAACTGTATGCTGCACTTGGGAAAGGAAACAAGGAACCCTGCATTACACACTGCGACTTGAACAAAAACATTGTGGTTTACACTGCGAGTGTCCAGATTAAAGAGACTTGATTAACGACAAACATTGGTATTTGAAATGAGCTATGAGATGTGTAACTGTACAGAGTTGAGAGTCTGCAAGGGGCAAATTCCTAGGTTTTGAAGTGGAGTTGCAAGCAAGTTTTATTCAAAACATTTAGACCTGTGACACTCTGGTGTAATTTCAAGCATTGTTGAAGCAAGATTTTGATATATTACATGTACTTATGCATATATATAAGGTCTTGTGTTATGTGTGTACCCCATTGAAACTTTGCTATGTAAATAATTGCAATGGAACACTAAGCAACCTGGAGCTGTTACCGGTGTTGCTATTAGATGACACAATACTCAAATAGGAATTCCAGTATTAAAAGACATCACTCTTGAATGGAAACACAATTAAGTAACATATTATCGTCGCTGAAAAATCACATTTACTGAAAAATTTTTGTTGAAAACAAATTCCACAGTTTTTTCTTAATAACTGAAATTACTAACATCCATACTAAAGGTTGCAATCAAATTTTATAAAACATTAAAAATGGCATAACAGTTCCCCACTGAATGGTCTTTCTAAAACCTTCATTAACTTTTTTTGTAAACTTTTGGACCTCAAAAGCTGGATCACTTTACCACCCAGCTGTTTGAGCTGTTATTAGGTTTATGTTGCACAGTAACACTGGTATAGACCAGTTAAATCAAATGACCCTTTTCTATGCTTTAAATTCAATGCATTTCTGAACATGTATAGCTTGCAGTTTCTTAACATATAATCTTGTACATAAGCAGGAGTTGAAAGAAGAGGTACAGTCCCCTCACTATTGGAACTTTGGAGAGCATCCTGGATTTAAAAATACTTGGAAAGCTACAATTGAATTCACAACGGTTTTATTTCAGTAATTTTTTTTTAATATAGTTTAGTGATTGATATAAATAGCATCCTTTCAGAAATAACTGCCATTCCTTACTGTGAAATTTCTTTGCCACTTGATTCTTTGCAACTTTTATTTTGCTTTTAAAATGACTGCCAGCTAGCAAGCAAATAAGGAAAGGGTGGTGGGATTACTGCATTGATCCAACCTCATACACGAATTTAATAGCAATAAAGCAGTGTGTCCTCTGATTCAGTGGGAGAAATCTCATAGGACGCTACTAAATAATGAGTGTTGAGCGCAAAACTTCATATTGTCACACTTACTAAGCCCCAGTCTTGCCATTCTTCTGCTTACAAATAGAGTTCAGTGTGAATGCCAACTAGAGTGTAAAATCGGGCAGGTGTAACTGGTGGATTGCTACCGGGGTCAGTCCTAGGGCCACAATTTGTTGAGGAAAGTAAATGTACTTTGGCCATGTCTATGACTGAAGTACAAATAAGTGGAAGGCATGTGTTGAGGATGACACAGGCAATCTGCAGAGAGATATAGACAGATTAAGTATGTAGACACAAACTTGGCAGATAGAAAAAAATGGGAAAATGTGAGGCTATGCACTTTGGCAGGAAAAATATATGTGCTGGATATTATTTAAGTGGAGAAAGCGGTAGCATGGAGAGATTTGGGAATCCTCGTGCAAAAATCTCAAAAAGCTAGCGTCCAAGTTCAGCAGGTAATAGGGAAGGCAAATAAAATGTTGGCCTTTATTTCAAAACAAATGGAGTATAAAAATAGGGAAGTCTTGCTAAAACTATCCAAGGCACAAGTCAGGCCACTGCTCAAATACTATGAACAGCTTTGGGCTCCTTATCTAAGAAAGATAAACTGGTGTTGGAGGCAGTCCAGAGAATGTTCACTGGGCTGATCCTGGGAATGGAGGGACTGTCTTATTAGGAGAGTTTGAGCACATTGGGTTTACACTCATTGGACTTTAGAAGAATTAGAGGTGGCCTTGTTGAGACATACTTAGGGCTCTTAAGAGGCCAGATGCAAAAAGATTATTTCCCCTTGAAGGAGAGTCAAAGACCAGGGTCGTAATCTCACAACAAAGGGTTGCTCTTTCAAAACAGACATAAAGAGCAATTTATTTTCTCAGAGAGGAGTGAACTGGTGAAATTCTTTACCACAGAGGGCTGTTGAGGCTGCGTCATTAAGTATATTCAAGGCCATGATAGATTTTCAATCAGTAAGAGAATCAAGGGTTTTGAGGAAAAGGCATGAGAGTGGTGTTGACAATTGTCAGATCAGCCGTTATCTAATTGAGTGGCAGAGCAGGCTCGATGGGCTGAATGGTCTACTTCTGGTCCTTTGTCTGATGGTCTTATAGGATGTACAGTGGACATATGATCCAAAGCAGTTCCGTTCATGGTTTATTTAAAATCAGGACTTTATTTTTGATTGGCTGCTCCTCGCAGCTACATTCTGTCACCCAACTCTTGACTGTAATGTAAAGTCCATTTTTCAATATTTTAATTCTTCCCTGAGCCATGCAAAAGCCTGTTTGCAGGATATGGATCTGACGCAATATTTGAAACATCTTTCTTTGGTTGTGCCAAAAAGGATTCCTAGTGACCTGCCAGGAGGAAAATAGTTCATTTATTTCCTGTAAACAAGTTGGTGTTGCCCCTCCAGCAAAAATCGTTTTGCTTTGAGATAATCTGCAATGAGCCAGGTAGTCCATTAACATGAACAGGTTTAGTGTTGGCCCTGTAATGGGAGCTTACAGAGTGTACATCAGGTGTGACATGACTTAAAAGTGAGGTAGATTGAAACTCACTCTGTCATGGTCAATGTTAAACTCTGATGCCAGTTTCAAGTTGTATTTAGATGGTAGCTCCAATATCAATGTGAAAGGAGATAGTAGGAACTGCAGATGCTGGAGAATCTGAGATAACAAGGTGTAGAGCTGGATGAACACAACAGGCCAAGCAGCATCAGAGGAGCAGGAAAGCTGACGTTTCGGGCCTAGACCCTTCTTCAGAAGTGGGGGAGGGGGAGGGGGTTCTGAAATAAATAGGG